AAAAGAGGTCCAAAAATATATACGATATTTTTCACAAAAAAAGCTGAACACTTCTCCCGGGAAGAAGCAGTGCTATTTGCAGCACGAAAAGGTGTACTATTTGACTTTTTTTGAGTGTGGGAGGAGTTCAAATATTTCCAAGGAAAGTAGGGTATCTATTCTTGTGCCTATTTTCGGACAAAATAGTGATCGCCCGCTGTGATCGCCCGCTCATGGTATGACTGCATAGCATGAGCGGGCGATCACTATTTAAGCTGAAAATAACTATCTCTTTTGCAAGAAAATATATACAAGATTAAATGGCCTATTTACATAGGGAATATTTGGACTATTTTTATGCTCAAAAAGTTGTAAAAATAGCATGCCTTTTCATGCTGCAAATAGCACCACTTTTTCCCAGAATAACTGCTCAGCTCTTTTTACAAAAAATACGTGCTGTATTTTTGGACCTCTTTTTACACAAAAGAGGAACTAATTCGTCTCGTGCTTATGCGCGACCTCGAGAGGCATCCAGGCGAGCGTCATTGGGCAGGACGTGTAGAGTGGCAGCTCGATACTTGTTGGAGAATATGATGAAAACCAGCGGGGAGGGTGCATCGGTCGCGGTAACTACAGCAACGATGAGCACGACGTTGAGAGAGGGGGAGAAACGAGTACAAACCAAGGATGAGACAGGGTCGGTTCATGAGCGAGAGGCAGTGCTCGCAGTGCAGACTGTGGGGACGGAGATCATGATAGATGTGGGCTTCTTGTGCATAGTCCGCCGGTAGAGACGAGAGTGGTGGATGTTAATGCTGAGCACGTTGATGGAACGCAGGTGAGCGAGCAAGAGCAAGTTTCGACAGCGGGGTCGCCAAAGCAGGGCGGATCACTCACGTGACTCTCCTATCATTCCATGAGCGCCGGCATTATGGCACAGGGCCTGGCCAGGATGTGATTTTTCTCTTCCACTCCGTCGGCTTGCATCAGAGATTCAGACTGTTATTGTGTCTTTCTTCTGTACTCCCCGGTAACCGTCATAATTTTTGGCTTGCCATGCAGCTACCCTATCGTGCTAAGCTTCAATGTGACGCTGAAAGTTACATGTTGAACGTTGAATATTTGGACCCTCGCCATGATATTAGGAACAATATTGTCTTATTTTACGGCGGTCCCTATCTTGCCCCTGCGCTACGGTATATGCACAATGTAAAGCGAAGTGATAGGGTGCGAAGAATGGACGGAACGTAGAGGCAACCCATGTCGGGCCCCGCCTCAGCCCACAGTATGTTCGAGCATCTCTGCACTCGCAGGCATCCCCGTCCGAGCCTACAGCTCGTCCTCGCTCCAAAGTTCGGGCAGCCTCTGGTCGTGTGCCCTATCCTTGCGTGATGTTCACTGCCACCCTTGTCTTATGCCTCCTCCCCTGCCCTCTAATCGCATCCTTCGTCGCCCGTTCCCTCGCCGTGTTCGTAATCCGGCATAACAACCTCCATCGCTTCCGAGGACTGCTCGCCTGCCGTGTTCTGAGGGCCATCTGCGGTGGATGGCGCAGTCTCTGGTACTGTGTCCGTGGATTCTCTACCCGCCCGCGCGGCTACGAGCTGTCGTAGGTACTCCTTTCGACTGTTGCGAGGGTCGTACGGGTTGTCCGAGTGCAGCAACCACTCGGCTTGCTCGGTGATGTCGAGGGCGATTGTGGTGCCGTCGATGGTGTGCCCCGTCGGTATGGACAAGATGTCTTCACTTGTGAAAGGATTGGGTTTGAACGTCTGAAACTGCAGTTTGCCTGACTCGAGAGCCCAGGCCAGCTGTGTCCGGCGCAACACAGAGCATAGGATTCTCTTCGAGGTCTTCCTAGCTTGCATCAGCGATGGTAGCGTGTAACATGTGATAAGAAGGCGGCGCATGTGCGGGGAATCAACGATGGCTTGCAAGGCGTCCCAGGGGAGAGTATCTACAGTTTCAACATCCGCGAATGAGAGATTGAGAGCAATCTCCTCGACATGCGCAAGTAGGGATCCCGCATCCTGGCCAGTACTCGGTCGGCGAACCCTAACGTCAATACGGACGTCATCGCCCTCAGATTGGCCTTGACCAGGTGAGGAGCAATAGATGGTCGCCGTGTCTGCTGAGAAATAGCTAGTGAGATTTGCGCCGTTTGCCCCGGTTATAAGATAGACCTAGAAGACGTACCAAGCGCACTGCCGTTCTGATGCTCAAGCCACACGTTTGCCCGTTCAAACGCATATGGTACCAACGCAAGCAGCGCCTGAAGAGTTGCATCCCATGTGCGGTTGTCAACGCCTATGCGACGAGCAACCGCAAGGACATCAGCAGCCAGCGCCGCTTGGGTGGAGACTGTCATGTCCTTACACCGAGAGATCATGCACCTACGGAGGGCCAATGAAGCACGTCGGTGAATTCTGCGCGACTGGACAACCGGCGACGGGTCGAGAAACGTGAGGTGGTGGCAGGTGCAGCGCTCGAGCGTGGGGAAATTGTCGATAAGCCGTGCGAGCTCAGTCGTGGTTATGAATAAAATGCCGTTGAGGGTAAGGTCTGAGAGTCGGACATAGCCTGAGGGTGGAGCAACGCTTGGAATCGATTGAAACGGGGCCCAACGGCCAGCCATTGGTGCAACATCGCCCGCGCGACTCACGACAGTACACTCGAATTTTGTCTGTCGAAGTCGAGCCGAAAGTCCGTGGACGTGGTGGAGCCAAGGCTTCTTCCCGGTAGGTTCTTGATGGATCAATATCCGCCTAATGGCCCCGGACAGAGACGAGCGCATAAATTGAGGGCTGTAGATAATGTCCTTCAAGAAGTGCACATCTCCGGCACTGCGCAATTCGAGTACTCGAAAGAGGAGAGGTCTGATGGCTTCTGACCAGTACGTGCATACGATGCTGGGCGCAGTGAGCCCGTGTTTCATCAGGCGACGTTTATCTGGAGAAGAAAGATGAGGGTCGGCATCGGCTAGCCTCGGAAAGAGGCACTTCAAGATAATTAGCAACGTTTCGGGTGGCAAATCGGCTCCTGTAGCGCCTGACATCTTTCTGAGCGAGGGGGAATGCACAGAGGAGACTGTGGGGCACGATAAGTGAGTACGAGCGTGGTGCATGCAGGTAGAAAATGGACGGCGCACCTCAAGCAGTATTTATGCAACAGCAGCGCACAGCCATTTGCATCGTGTGGATAAGGCTGATACACGCCTAGAGGAGCCAGGTGGCCTCAGGCTAAGCGCAGTGATCTGGCCTGATATGAACCTGCCCGGCTGAACTACGACCTTGCCTGCCCGAACGTCCTCCGTGCGAACTGATTTTTCTAGCCGTGGGGTGATCTCGGCTGTTCCGCCTTCGGCTAACAGAGGATTCAACCTGAGGCCCATGCAGACTCCTGACCAGCGCCTAAGGGACGGGAGCTTTCTCAAGCGGATTATCGGGTTGGGTGATTATCGGCTATCTTGTAATTACCGTTTATATATACTACGTCAGCGGGATTTGTGTCTATGTCAGCAGAATTTGCGTAATCTTTCGAAAGGCTCACCGTCCCTAGGCGACTGGCACAAATTATTGGCGCGCGTGCTCGGCAGCTCGGCAAATGTCCCAACAATTATTTTCGTCGCTCGGTTTTCCGAAAAATAAGCGACGGCGCCTCTCCGCCTCGCTCAACCCTAAGCGAGGGTTTCGAGAACCTCCCGCTCATTCCTTAGTATCTTGGGAACCACAACAGGTAGCGGCTCGACTGCTCATTTCAGAAGTCATGAAATTGATTTTAATGTCTCTAATGGCCGCATCTCTTGTCTAAAGCAGGTGCATGAGACCGTGAAAGATGTGGATGAGCGACTACGGCAGCTGCGCCACTCTCTCTAGTAAGGTCTC